CCAAATTTTTCTTCATGACTATGCGATTATATATCTCCATATTAAATTATAGTATTCTTCCATGAATACTTTCGGAGATATGCAGTGTGAAAAATTCGCTTTGTATGGGAGGTGCCACGCCCCATTCACTTAGCGGCATGAAATATACATTACATCCGATTCTCATACCTACCAAATATACACAAAAAATTTCATGAAGATCGGTCGAGCCGTTTCGGAGGAGTTCAACCACAAACACCGAGATACGAGATTTTTATATATTAGAAGGGAGATAGTTTAATTTTTTTTTATTTTTTCAACTAACTAGTATTTAATGAAATATTCAAGTCAATCTTTTAATAAAAACAGTTTAAAGAAAAAATCATAAGTCATTTTCTCCATGATTCACCAATAAATAACATAGTACTACAAAAAAGAAAAAAGCAGAAATACATGGGAAGTTATGCGTATTTTCTGGTAGGTCTTTTCGAGTAAAATCGAAATACGAAATTTGCCAAACACCCCCAAAATCTTGATTTACCGTTAAAACCTGGTTTTTGCGCACTTATAAGCCAGTAACTTAGCTCATTATGAACCGAGTTTCGTTTTATTGTCGCGATTAAAAAGAAAAGGCTTGGGCCTCTCCAACGAGATATATGTGAATAAAGAAACTTTAAGAGATCCGTGTGTATTTACCCAGCAAACACATTTTCTTTTAATTTTTTCCGCCTTTTTCCAATTTTGGTGAGGTTTTACGCACTATTTTATAAAAGTATGTTCACGTATAAATATTATCTCAAACAAATCCATTTTTTAATCACCCTGTTTACACAGCAAATCTCAGATTGTTAGCCGTCAATTTTTGTTGTGCTTCTTATTCTCACATCTCAAGGAAAAGTTATGGTTATGGTGCAGTTCATGGTCCCCACCGAAAATTGATGCAAAGTAATCAAGGGTTTGTAAAGGTATTTTTAATAAAATGTTAAGTTAAAATATATTTATATTGCTTAGTATTGTAGAAAAACGTGATCACGGCGGCACAGAGAAGAAACATAACTTTTTTTTAGTTTGTGCACTTCATGTTCCCCACCGAAAATTGATGCAAAATAATCGAAAGGGGTATGAAACGACGCGTATTACTTCCATTATTAAGAATCCGAAGGTGGAAACTTATTTTTTACACCGTTCAAAAGTTATTTGCAAAAAACTGTTTCATTTAGCACAACTTTGTTACTACTGAAATCACATTACGAAATGAGTACATATTAATATCTCGATGTTCGGTATAGTTTATTTTAACCGAATTTGTAACAAAAATCCACGAAACTTAATGATTTAATGATGTATTATACTGAAAACTACGAATGTAAACCCGGCGCCTTTTTATTCCACTAGTTGTAATAAAAACATGGAGGTGCTTGGTGTTGCCAGTTCATTAATAACAGAAACGTTTTAAAGCAGGGATTCCAACAAAAACATGCAAGATTTTGCTTTTTACGTTAACTCGACTGACCAATTCTGGCGATTTTTTTTACAGTATTACTTTATAATTTATTTTAACGAAATATGTGCGAAATCACATTAATGCTGAAATATTTTTGCAAAAACAATGCGGTATTTTGGTGCCCCAAATGATTATTTTATCAGTAACCATAATATACATCACTTACCACACAGAAAAGGAATTCTAGTTACCTCATCCTTTCCCAAGGCTACATCACTGGGGCGGTAGCCCCAGTTGGTGCACACCAAAAGGAGAATTCTATTTGGTAAGGGTTACAATCCTAAAGAGCGGCCGAAGGCCGCCTACGCAGAAAGGAATTCTACGCAAAAATACTGTGGACGCAAGTAAAAATAGACATACGCATATCAAACAAAAGGGAAATTAATTTTCTTTATACCAAAAGAACGACAACACTATTCTAATAAGGCTAGTTTTGAAAAAAAGCAGGTTAAATGGAATTTTTTCATATATTTTTTATAAAAACCAATTTTTATCAGCAATTAGAAATGCAAGGCACAAGGAATGCAGACCAAAAGAAAGGTGTATTAATTTCCTTTAAAACTATATATTATCTTTTACAAACGCTTTTCCAGTTTTTGAGATAATATGGGTTTTCAAAAAGCAAATTTGGATCTTTGACCTTCGATATCTCGCTTAATTTTAATTTCTGCAAGTAAATTTTAGTACCGTTGTAATCAGCTCAAAAAGCTCTATCGACTGCTATTCTTAGTTTTTTTTTCTAGCGAAGCGGTGGGTATTCTTTACTTGTTCCGAATTACATAAGGATTTGTGAAGGGGTGCATTCTTATATACTTAAAATCGTTTACATTTATTGTTATTGGCATCTCTAAATAAAACCTTTTCTTATAGTAATATATTGGCAACACCAAGCACCTCCATGTTTTTATTACAACTAGCGGAATAAAAAGGACACGTCGGGTTTACATTTGTTGTTTTCAGTATAATACATCATTAAATCATTAAGTTTCGTGGGTTTTTGTTACAAATTCGGGTAAGATAAACTATGCTGAACATCGAGATATTAATATGTGTTCATTTCGTGCATATATTAATGTGATTTCAGTACTAACAAAGTTGTGTGAAATGAAACAGTTTTTTGCAAATAACTTTTGAACGGTGTAAAACAAATAAGCTTCCGCCTTCGGATTCTTAATACTGGCAGTAATATGCGTCGTTTGATACCACTTTCGATTATTTTGCATCAATTTTCGGTGGTGACCATGAAGTGCACAATTAAAAAAAAAAAGCTATGTTTCTTCTCTGTGCTGCCGTGATCACGTTTTTCTGCAATACTAAGCAATATAAATATATTTTAACTTAACATTTTAGTAATAATACCTTTATACTAGGTTCACATATAAGTAGATTATCCTCATTTTCGAGCTTAACACCCTAATCTGTAATTATAACAAGAGATTAGCCATATAAAATTCGTTCCTTGTTAATCTGTAATTATAAATTAATCTCCGATCTAACCGATAACTTTTCGGTGTCCATCCTAGTTTTATCGATTGTTTTTGCGAAAGAGAGGAGAAATGCCAAATGTAAAAGTAAACAAAAATGTACGCTAGCAAGTAAAAGAGGTTTGTAAAGGTATTTTTAATAAAATGTTAAGTTAAAATATATTTATATTGCTTATTATAGCAGAAAAACGTGATCACGGTGGCACAGAGAAGAAACATAACTTTTCCTTGAGATGTGAGAATAACAAGCACAACAAATTTGACGGCTAATAATCTGAGATTTGCCTGTGTAAACGGGGTGATTAAAAAACGAGCTTTGATTGAGATAATATTGATATGTGAACATAGTTTAACTCCCTAATCTGTAATTAGAAAAAGAGATTAGTCATATAAAATGCGTCCCTTGTTAATCTGTAATTATAAAATAATCTCGGATTTTACCGATATCTTTTTGGTATCCATCCTAGTTTTATCGATTGTTTAAGTAAACAAAAATGGGCGCTAGCAAGGAAAAGGGTTTGTAAAACTATGTTCACATATCAATATTATCTCAATCAAAGCTCGTTTTTTAATCACCCCGCTTACACAGGCAAATCTCTGATTATTAGCCGTCAAATTTGTTGTGCTTGATATTCTCACATCTCAAGGAAAATTATGTTTCTTCTCTGTGCCGCCGTGATCACGTTTTTCTGCTATAATAAGCAATATAAATATATTTTAACTTAACATTTTATTAAAAATACCTTTACAAACCTCTTTTACTTGCTAGCGTTCATTTTTGTTTACTTTTACATTTGGCATTTCTCCTCTCTTTCGCAAAAACAATCGATAAAAACTAGGATGGACACCGAAAAGTCATCGGTTAAATCTGAGATTATTTTATAATTACAGATTAACAAGGGACGAATTTTATATGGCTAATCTCTTGTTATAATTACAGATTAGGGTGTTACGCTCGAAAATGAGGGTGATCTACTTATATGTGAACCTAGTATAAAAAAATTAAGAATATATCATTAATTTTTTTTATTGTTCATATATGTACATATATACATCTAACAATCTAAGTCGAAGTATGAAAGGGTGTGATAACTAACCCAACCTTTTTCTTTATGTTTCTGAAAATAAAATACTTAGATTCCATATACTGAAATAGAGTTAGATTATTCTTATTTTTAGGCCGAAATTTTTCCCTCAGTGTAGTACTCCCTGGCTTGGGCCCGCACCACTGAAAGAGCCTATGGGCCCATAGATCCTAAATCCGGCGCTGTATGTATGTACGGTGGAGTTTGTATGTACAGTATTGTATGTATGACAGTGCTGTATGTAACTTAGCAGGCCTATGTGCCTGAAGATACTTAGTAGAGTTGCAAAACTATCGATAGTTTTTGATAGTTTTAAAAAACTATTGATAGTCTTCGATAGTCTCAAACAAATAAACCATCGATAGTACTATCGTATTAAAATGGTACATAAAGAGAATTTCTTAACTGCCAAGAAATTCGTATTTATTTTTGTTGTATGTTGCATTTTTTTTTGCTGGCAATGTCACTTATTTTCTGCCATACAAAGTATGTTCGAAACGTTTTATGGATGAAAGTGCACAAAGTGTATACAAAAACATAAAACTTGTAAAACTTACTATTAGCTGATGCTCTGAATTCACAATTTGAAATATTACTGTACAATATTCCTGCTGGAGTTGTAACACTATTGATAGTTTTTAATAGTTTTGAAACAAACATCGATAGTCTTCGATAGTCTCCAAAACATAAACTATCGGTACTAACGATAGTTTTTCAACTCTAGTATCAGCTGTATCAAATTCTCATTAAAAAGCTTGACATTTTTGGGCACTCCCATGTACTGACGATCAAAAACTTTCCCCACATGCGTGGAATTCTGCATCCGGAATCTTATATGAGTCATTATGTTTAAAAAGGGAATTAACGTAAATGGAGGGGTCAAACATTGAAAGTAATATTTCTTACGTATTCTTGAAATACTGATTTCAAAAGTGCTGTTCGCTCTTACCTATTGGACTTGTTTACAAATTATTTCAAAATTAGTTTGCAAAAAAAGTCCGCAAATCTATGACAGATGGATAAAGAATTGTTAAACTTTGTGTACCTTTATTTCAACAGTAATAACTGAAATTTTTGTAAAATAACAAATGTAAAATATAGCAATTCATTTAATTGATTATGGATTGAAGATATGGTTCTAGCAAAGTGGCTGAATGGCGGAAATTGGCCAAATCCATCACGTCTGTGTCGCTTTCTTCACCGCAATCGGAATCATAGCAACGATGGTGCATCGACCCGTACGGTTGACGTATTTCCCTGAAAATGTTGGCGTTGTCGACTTTCACCATAGGATGAGTGCCGGCGCAGCGCGGTGACAATGTGGAAACAGCACCATCCGGATCAGAACGGCAAGTTATGTTGTTGTTTCTATCATGATGAGTCGATACTTGCAAATTCGCATCGTTTTCTTGTTGCGGTTTTTCGCTGATTTGGTGATCCTGGGGTAAAGGCTCAGCGCAAATGATGGTATGATCGTCATTTCCTATCTCGTCGCCCTTCCATTTTCCTCCACTCAAATACAATTGCAACTGGTGTCGTATATTAGCTTTTTCATAGGCACGTTTACGCTGAAAGTCCTCCTCAACACTGTGGGTGAAAAATTATAAATTTATTTGCAATATATCTGGCGCTAGCCATCTAAGCGACACAGTTCAAAATCTGTGAGTAAGGCGTAGCAATCTCATACAACTCAAAGCTGAACTGAGGGCAATCTGATAAGCGTTGAGGGAACAAGCGAGTTGCATACTTACACATCATGTCAAAGTTATAAGCACAGCAATTTATTCTTTAACAATAACTGTATCGATCCAACAAACTTTCGCAAATTTTTGAGCCTTTTAAATTAGATTTATTACAAATATTTGGCTATGCAGTTTTGTAGCCCATTCAATTTTAGTATAAAAAATTTAGTTTTATGTACATAGGAGTTACCCTTGAGTTTGCCAATGTTTCTTTTTTTATGTGAATATATGTGGTTCGCTTATAATTTTTACACAGGGCGTAGAGTTGCGCAAATATATTAAAGCACTCTGACGGCCGCACTCAGAAATATAAATTAAATTAGCTCTAGCGGGCACTTAACTAATGATCGTTAAATCTGTTAATCAAATACAAAAAAAGTCTAAGTTCAGGTGAAGCCGAACATTATATACCCGGCGCACAGTGGTCTAGGTGGGAAAAAGTTGGAAAATCAAACTCTTTAAATACGATTTTTTTTTGTATATTTATGTTTGCTTATATATATCTCGTGCAACTGGTTATGTGAATGCAAATATTCGTAATATCCATTGTCTGAACTACGACACTCAGATAACATTAGGCGGCAGTCCTTCCGTATTACTGAGGGGACTTAATTGTCCATCACTCCTATGAAGTAATACCTAATCTGTAGTTCCGTGGTAGGAATAGGTTAGGTTTAGCGGATTAAAGTTTCTCACAATGGCTTTCGATGCCTTACCCCTCTTAAAAAAACAATAACAACGTACCGCCGTCGAGGAGACCGAAAAACGACAGGTACTGTCACGGCGCTACAGAGAAAAATACGCGAGCTATGTGGAATCGATATAAGGAGCGGGAAAAAGGAAGCGAGACACATTTGCCGGAATACAAAGAGAGAGACCAAAACCAAAATCTTGGCGAAAATTTGAAATGCTGGTGGACAGGAAAAACTGCTGAAAATGCTATCACTAAGTTAGGTGACTTACGGAAGGTCTCAAGACCAGGCCGAACTGCTGTGCTAGTTACCGAACATGCTGAAGTTATGAAGAGAGCACTTTTCCACCCTGCTGAATGGTAACAGCACTGAAAGTAGTAGTAGAAGATAAAGCCAGTCGATGTCTACCAATTTTGCGACTGATAAACAACAAAGTTGCTTTAGCTGACCGTCTGCCAGCTGAGCTATCCAAGAGTGGCGGCAAAGAGTTGATAACGTGAATGAATCAACTATTTGCAGTATATGATCGGATGATCACATGCCCAAAGACTGGAAGTTAAGTGTCCTCAACTAAATCCACAATCGCGGGATCGGCTATAAGGTTTTATAGAGTGCATTGTGTGAAACGCTAAAGCCCACCGTGAACGGACTGAATGGGCATTATCAGTGGGCTTTAAACCTGGTGAATCCACTATTTACTAAAGGTATGAAAAAAAAATTGATTCTGACATACATTTTTTTAATTTTTGATGCAATATTGATATCTGTTGGTTTGAATCGATTAAAATCGAAGAAACTTCCTTCGCTACTTGTAAAAGTGATGCTGAGTGAATCGTGCGGTATGGGTAAGACTAAAATTTTGTTTGTGTAATTTAAACCAAATAAAGCCAGTTTCCGAGTGCATGTACACATATAAGTATACGTTGAATTAAAGTAAATATAAAGTTTTAATGTAAAAACTTATTGATTTAAAGTTATTACTAGAGCTGTAAAACCATCGATAGTCATACCATTCGACGTTTTCGATAGTTTGCATAGTATCGGATAATTTTAAAATGCATTGACGAAGCTATTTATACAAACTTTTTAGTTTTATTTAGTTCCTGAAGAATATACGGCGATTTTCAGTAACTTTGTCCTTTCTCTTCGATTTTTAAAATATTTTAAACCGATAATATAAAAACCTAAAATTCCCAATCGTAGAAAAACAAATCGCTTATAAACGTAAAGAAAACTGTATGTTTTACAAAAAACTTTCATCAGTCCAACTCCGGCTACACTCACTCCAAAATTTACGGAAAAGTCCATATTTCAAGAATGTGCTACAAGAACCCAAATCATTGTACAAATAGCCGAACCATACCCCGACTTCTACATGATTATTTATCCATTCAATCTTTGAATTTCAAAGTATCAAACGCAAATACAAGAATATCCAATATTTGACTACCCCTGGCTTATATCAATAATTTCTTCCATCGACGCACAATCAATAACACCATAGTATGGTTCCAAAAAGATATTTAAACTATTTTTTTTTTCAAATTTAATTACACCCGAATTCAACCGAATGATTCATGCACTTTAACGCAATTCTGGTTTATTCAGAAACTTGAAACCACTTAACGGTACAGAGTAGTGTTGCCAAGTTTTGAATTTGAAAAAGCACTAAGACCCAAGAAAAATCGCGTTTTTTCTCGAAAATGTACTAAATTTTTATTGAAGGATTTAATGTACTTTTTATGCATAAAGTTTTATTGCAAGTATTCTGATTCAAATTAGTAAAAATCAATGTTTCTATTCAATTCTATTTTATATAAATTCAAATATTTATTGTCATCCAATATTTTTTTCCAGCGTTGCTGTTTCGCTTAAATTTGAGCAAATTTTATAAATTTTTTCCTGACAGTTTAAGTATTAAATTTTTTCGTTTTGCAAAATTTTTTTACAATTCCTGTCAAACGAAAGCAAAAACAAAAAATTAAGTTTCATGAGCTATGTGGAAGTTTAAATCTACAATGCAGTCTGTTATGATCTCGTTAATTAAAGGAACGTAATGAACTTTTCTTTCCAACCGGTTCACACCTGAAACATAACGAAATTTGATTTCGCGTTTAATGTGTCTTATTTGAGTGTATTATCTACCGGCGCATAGTGAGAACAATTTTTTTGTCTAAAAAAGCTTCCTACTCCTCAAATCGCACCCGAGTTCGATTATTCTTTCTTTAAAAGATTCGGCAATGGCAAATTGCCGAATGTAATTCTGGCATGATTGAAATTGCTGCCACATATTTTGTTGGCAAACAAATGCTCTCTCGCTTATGATTGTCATTGTGCCATGCTTTTGTTTAAATTTTCTAAAGTTGCTTGCCATGGTACAATAATTACAGGTGTTGTCTTCCCAGAGAGCGCATATTCCGATCTGCCTTACTTGAAAAAACATCATTGTTGCCCACAGTTTACTGCTAGGGAGAAGGGATATTTTCATACCACATATACCATGTATGTACACGTATTTTTTTAAACAAACCATTTCTTTTCAAACGTTTTTTCTTTCATTTTGAAAAATGATACAAATTAAATTGAGAGAAAACAAAAAGCAAACCCAAATGAAAGTAAAAGAATCAACATTGAACTGTGTCAAAATGAAAATAAGGGAGCACGAAATTCGATGTAAAGCAAAACTTTCTGGGAAGACAATACCTGTAATTATTGTACCATGGTTGCTTGCGAAACTTTCAATTGCTATAAAATTAACTTCCATTTTTGTTTTAGGTTTACAGATTTGGTGTCTTCAAACTAAAAAAACACCAAAAAACGCACCGAGCACCCAACTCATAAATTTTCGGGTTTCGAATAATGAAAAGCACTAAATTTAGTGCGAAAGGCACCAAGTAGGCAACAGTGGTACATACTACGTTTATACGGACGTATTAATTAATAACAATTTGCAAAATGGTAAATTTTGCCGTATAGACGCTGAGTTAATTTTTTATTTGCAAATAACTAAATCACGCAAATAAGTATTGATTTGCAAATAAGCGCAAGACGCCGCCATTCTTAGGTTTATTTTCTTTTTCGATGGTCATCTTATTGTCGTTTAATAATCAAGACGTTGCCATTTTTAACTTTATTTTCTTTTTCGATAGTCATATTATTGCCTTTTTTTAATCAGGCAATATTAAACAAGAATTTTTCACCATCGAATAAACAGTGAGTTACGTATTTGCAAATTATTTTTATTTGCAAATAGCTTACGTATAAACGTAGTAACAGACGCATATATGCTCTTCCCTTTTCTTCTGAACCCCTCTCTTCCACTAGCAAGCATAATTTAATTCAATACTTGAACCGTGTAAAACCCGGTAATAGGTAAAAAAATAGTGATGTGTAGCAAATCAATGTTGCCAAATTCCTATTTTCAAAAATAAAGAAATGCATACTAAGTAGTAGATATAATATAAACAATATGCACGATGTAGGGAAGAAAGGTGGCGTCCATCTCGGTACCGCTATTCCGCTCTCAGTGAATTTGACAGAAACGCTGTTTGTATGACGTCTCACTTGCGCAACTTTTTTACGTGTCTCTTGCAAAATTTCTTCTCCTTCTTCCATTCTTGCCCGCGTTTTGGCATTTCTCTCTCGCAGCTGTACCAGTGTGACTTCACGCAAAAATTATTCTCAAAAATCTTCTCTGATGGGCGCAAACAAGATTCTTGACCAATATGTATATTTCCTCAAACAAAGATTATCGATAGTGGAAAACGACCATTCGATAGTGCGCAAAAGTAGAACCATTCGATAGTACCATCGATAGTTTAACAGCTCCAATAGATACTTGAAGAAATGCAATGAATAAATGAACCAAGAAAAACGGAATAAATAATCAGTGATTTTTACGAGCAGATGTGTAATTAATGGAAATGAGAAAATACTAGAAACAATTGATTTTCGTTATACCAATCGGCTTAGTGCCAAATTTTTGTCTTTTTATCAAGATATATCCAAAAATCCGCGATTTCGAACGATTCCTCCGAGCCGGTTTGATACCAAACGTGGTATGATTAATGTGACTAACCGTACTTCATTCGGAAGTACAGTACTTCTTTTTTCGCTCTTGTACTTCGAAGTACAGTCAAATGTACTTCTTTGC